TCTATTTGGAGTGTTTGCATCGGAAGAAAGCGCTAATACGCGCCGCCTTGGCCTAGTGACGGCTAAATCAAGGAGCTCCAGTGGCTCAACTCGTGTTGCTCCTGGTGATGTGCTAGTTTGCAACCATACGAGCTTCTTAGAAATTCTGTACCTTTCTAAGCGCTTTTCTCCGGTCTTTGTATTTGCCACGAATAATGAACACGATAGCGGGGGACTGGTGCACGTTTGCGGTTTGCTCGAGGCACTGTACAGGTCTCTTGCTATGCCTGTAAGTGATGAGCGGGTAAAAGCTACAAGGAAGATTGCAGACGTTGTGCGTCGTGCCTCTGGGCCCGTGGTTGTACTTCCTGAAGGAGCAAGAAGCAATGGCAAGGCTGTGCTGAGATTCGTCCCTTTGCTGCAAAATCTGCCAGTCAAAGTGCGTTTGCACCTCGTGGCATTCCGATACGAATTCAAACATTTTAGTCCATGTCAAACTGTTGGTGGCGCCTGGTCTCATCTCTTTTGGACTGCGTTTCACGTCTACCACTCCATGCGTGTAATAGTGTTAAGTGCTAAGGATCTTTATCTGGATGATGTGACACAAATGAAATTATCTAGCAGCAAGAGCAGCAAAAAGCAGGACTCACAAACGTTGTCGACAGACCAAGTGGAGAAATTGCGATTGCTTCTCGCTGCAATGCTGCGCACAAAGACGGTCGACATGGGACCCGAAGACCTCGTTACTTTTAATAATTACTGGAAACACTTGAACAGTGGAGGACGTCAGCCGGCGTCACAGTTTACAGATCGCAAGGCTCCTCATGAACATGCCCAATGGACTAGAAAATAGACATTACGAAGGTGTGGCTGAACTTCGGTCGAATTTTAACGAATATGATTGTCGTTAAGCTAGCTTCAGAAGCAGTTCGTAGACACCAATACCTAACTCGACAGAAATAAGGATGATAATATACCACTCAAGTCGCTCGCCTTTGTGAGAGTCCAGCACCTCCAAAAAAAACTATATCATCCACAGCTGTCAGTTTGTTGTTGTATAACATCTGTTCAAATCCACTTACCTTGGTGTTGTGCTGAATTAATTCCAGCTTAAAGTTTAAATTTTGAAAACGCTCATTAAGCTCAAATTCCTCGAGTAACGACTCCCACATGTTATGATACCTTGTCTGACTCCATGCTGGATCGCCTGGACGCTTACGATCGATCACACGCAATTTGCTCACGAGATCAATAAGTAAAGTGTTGTTGGACGCTACGATTTTAAACAACCTTTTTGTTTGCTCATTCTCTCGACCAAATAATGCACCGCGAGGGCCATTTTTCTCAACGTCTGTGTTGAGCTTCTCGAACTCTCTTAATATCGTCTCGCACTGACGCTCGTAAAACTCAAGAGCTACCGTTTGTGACAAAACACCAGCAATCACGTGAACATTTATGTGGTCAATTTTGCGCACTAGTACGTTGTTTTCAACCAAAGTGCTCCACTTTTGCTGCGCAGGGTCACCAACAAGCAACATCTCTTCCTCGTGACCTCGCATCTCAAACACATCACTACAAAAACGTGTAGCGTGCTTGATCAACGTATTCACCAAAACCTGTTCGCAATTAAAAAACACTACTGCGCCATAGTCAAAATACACGACCCATTTGTCGGTAGCCCGTCGTGATGTGACAGTCTTGCCTCCCGCTCCGACATTTAGCTTTGATATAGTATCTATATTGCTGCTATTGTTTACACTGTTCGCAAAAGAAGGAGCCACACCTGTGACAAGTCCTGCATGATCACTTCTTTTGTTACCACTAAGTCTCAAAACGATTGAGTCCTTGTGCAAATAATGAGTGACTTTAAATCGGTCTGTGTATAGCTTCTGGAAAAGTCTGGCAATATCCATTTTGCGCGCAACGTGAACAGCTCGGATCGGCATGTGCTGGACTTGATTGGCTACAAGCCGAGCTTGCGCTTGTTCTTCAGCAGCCGCAATGGTTGCATCCACCTCGTCGGCGGTTGGTAGCGGCGGCAGGTGTGGCTTTTCCACAACCACCTCTTGCATAGATTTGAAATATTTTCGCTGTAAATACCAGTCAAATCTCTGCGGGTGAAACATCGTGAAAGAAAAAGAGTTTGGAGATGATGCCATGCTGCTTATGTCTTTGCAGGCACCACAACGAACAGCAACACGCCGCAACAGTAGCATCCTGAGCGCGGAGTGTTGATGAACGTGAAATAAACATAAATCTATAGCCAGCCAATCAAAGTCAATTAAAAGTAAAGTCATTTACGAAAAAAATCCTGATTACAGTGTAGCCATGTCGACGTTCGCTGAGAAACCTGTGCCGCTCATCACATTTGATGAAGAAGAAAACAAGTTCAAGGTTAATGATGCAGCTGTTGAGCTGCTGAATTGTATCGAAGGGCACGTGGCTGTGATTGCCATGGCTGGCCTCTACCGCACAGGAAAGAGCTCAATGTTAAATTGGCTGCTGGACAGACAGAGCGGTTTTCGCGTGGGTCCCACTATTGAGCGCTGCACGCGCGGGATATGGCTCTGGGGTCAGCCACAGCGACATACGATGGCTGATGGTAAAGACGTCTGGGTGCTTATGCTTGATACAGAAGGAATGGGTGGCCTTGAGGCTTCGCAGCAATACGACGCGCGTATCTTCTCCTTGGCCACATTGTTGTGCTCTAGACTTATTTACAATAGCCATGGAAGCGTGGATGAAAAAGCTATCAGTGGACTCAGTTTCATCGCACAACTAGCTAAAAACATTAAAGTCAACGCCACGACCGAGAAAGGAGAGACCGATAATGAAGACGACATCATGCAATTTCACAGCTTCTTTCCGTCCTTCCTTTGGGTCGTTAGAGACTTTACATTAGATCTCGTCGACGAAGATGGGGATTCAATAACCAGTAGTGACTATCTGGAGCGAGCACTTGCTGATCAACCTCGAACTCCGGGTAATATGGAGCGTAATCGTATCCGAACCATGATGAAGGACTTCTTCCGTGACCGTGACTGCGTTACCCTAGTGCGTCCAGTGCATGACGAATCGAAATTGCAACAGGTTGATGCACTGCCGATCGAAGACTTGCGACCAGAATTTCAGCAGCAGCTTCGTGATGTAAAGCAGATTGTTTACGGCAATAGTTTGAAGCCCAAAATGCTGCAGGGCAAGCCTCTTAATGGCAGAATGTTTGCTGGTTTGCTTAAAGCCTATGTGGCTGCTATCAACAGCGGGGGTGTCCCCGTCATTACGTCCGCCTGGGAAGGTGTAACTGCAAGCGAGTGCCGTAAAGCGTTAACTACAGCAGCTGATACGTTTAAATTGAGTCTGGCTGCTTTGGAGTTACCACTCGACGATAAAGATCTGATTGAAGCGATAAAAGACGCTGAAAAGCGAGCAATAGCTCAGTACCGTGCGGCAGCTATTGGTGATAGTGCATCAAGTCTTGAGGCTGAATTAAGGAACCGCATGGAGAACGAAAAAGATGATTGCGCACGCAATAATGCAGAGCGGAGCAAGGAAATGTGCGATCGCTTGTTACATATTCTGTATGCGGAGGAAATTCAGCCCAAGCTGGCTGCAGCCAATGACGAATCGGATGAAATGCTGCGATTTTCGCTTAATTGGCAAGCTTTTCGTGACCTGTATTTGAAAAAAGCTCGTGGTAGCGCAAAACTCGAATGCTTGCTCACTTTTTCCGAATCTAAGTATGCTGAGGCCATGCGAATCCTCTTAAGTCGGCAGGAAGAAAGCTACGAAAAGAAAATTAGGAAACTACAAGGCGATGTATCTAAAGTGAAGGAGGAGCTTGGTAACGTTGGTGGCCGAGAACAGATCTACATGGATCAAATCGAGCAGATGCAAGTTCAATCGTCACAAATCTTATCCGAGAGAGCGTTTTTTGAAGCTGAGGCCGAGGCACAGCGCGAACGCGTTGCAAATTTGGAAAGCATTGTTCACGATGAGGTCGATTCAGAGCAGCATGTACAGACTGTGCATGATTCTGCCAACACAAAACGATCGAGCGAAGTCAAAAATCGAGAGAATGACAGCGAGCTCGAGCGCATGAAGGCAGCATATGAGCGCGTGGTGCAGGAAAAGGAACGTCAGGAGATGGAGCTCAATTTGCTGAGCGAGGAATGTCAGCAGCTGCGTAAAGGTCACGCTTGCGCTTGCACAATTTCATAGTTGAATGACGCCTTCTACAGTACCCAAATTGAATATTAAACGTCTCGTTCGTTGCAAAGCAGTAAGAATCGAGCTCTATTGCGGGCGACGATTAGGAGTTAGCGGTGACACGTACGCCTTGAGCTGCAATGAAAAAAACATGAGTCAGTGGCAGAACTTACAGCTAAGAATTTATGAAATCTACCTTGAATCCAGTGAGATCGGGTACCTCGAGCTGGAGCTGCTTATTCTTGTCCACGACGTAGCGACCACGCTTGGCGTGCGTACCTTCGTTGCGACAGCCATTACCCTTGTAGAATCGGCGGTTAGCGCGCTTACTGGTAAGTGGCCGTAAGGAGTGGGATCGCCCAAACTTGCTCTTGCGGGTAAAGCCCAAAACAAGTCCATCCAGCAGGCCCATTGCTTTCTAAAACTATAATGAGTTAAATAGCTTCTATGTATTCCACACCATTTACGATGTGGTATATGTAAAACACATTACAATTTGTGTTGCGATCCTCCATCAGATTTTCGTTGAGCCTAGCCATTTTTCTCGTACCAAGCAATAAGTTTACTCAAGAAGTATTGCTTGCTTTCCAAGTTGACAACACTTTGTCTCTAAGCTCTGTGTGCCATGAGGGGTTAAATACAGTCTGCTAAGGTTGGAAGGGCCCATCACATAAGAGCAAATTATATACAAAAACCAAGACACCCATAGCAAAAAATGCATCATACAAAATCCAGATAAATCAGAACGGCTGGACGATATGCGAGCATACGACCTTAATAGCAATGTATGAGTGTCCCAAAACGGAGTTCCAAAAGCATGTGTCAAAAGTGCAAGTCAGTCAGGGCGCGCACAAGCTTGACCTACAACCAGAAGCACGAGCTGGTTCCCTACGCAAATGTGCACTCTCATTTCCGTCACTTGGATCTCACTTCGTGGGTACTATCCGATTCGTCAAGTCCATTAGTCGTTCGACGGTTATCCGCGTCGTCTCAGCGCCTCTAGTCCCATAAAACATTAACGCGAGACGCGATCCGCCAGCGCCACCCCAATTCCCAGACATGAAGCTGCTCTTGCTGGAGTTTGTACAGCTGCACCAAGACTCCGCATCTCTAGACGATTTTGTTCTCGGAGTGAAGGCAAATGAGCTTCCCTATCCGCTAGATATAGTGAACTCGTGGGTACAGCAGTTAAAGCAGCGCTACAGTACTCGTTTGCGCACAGCACGAGGCAAATCAATGTCAATGAATCTCACCACTGTCGACATCAAGTGCCACGAATTACATGGTCTGATCGAAAAGTGTGAACCGCAGGATGTCTTCAATTTCAATTTATTCTTTCGCATGCTGCCCAGTCGGTCTTTCGCAACTAGCAAGATCCGTGGGACCAAGAAGGACAAGGCGCGTATTACTGTCGGTCTGTGCTTCAAGATGACAGGTGCTATGAAGATGGAACCGTCGTTATATAAAGCAGCAAGAACCCTCGTTTTTTTCAATGAGTGAACAGAGAGCGCCTTGGCATCCAGATCTACGCGAACGATAAGTCTTGGATGACGAGTGTTGTCTTCTTGGAGTGGCTGCTTCGCTTCAAACTCAAGAAGCACAGCCGAAAAGAGCTGCTGTTGGTGGACTACGCATCGTTCCACGATAGCATCGAGCTCGCCAACTTCCGTGTGTGCTTTCTCCCGCTCAACACGACATCTTTCTTGTAGCCACTCGGCGCTGGCATCATCAAGAGCTTCAAGTGTAAGTACAAGAAGCTTCTAGTACATTGGGCGATTGACTAGCTCAAGGCCGACGGCAACATCTCGCTCATGGACGTTCTGACAGCGATCAAGTTTTCCACAGATGCGTGGGGAATCAGTGAGAACTCCTTGCAAAACTCTTGGTATCGTGTCTGCACCCATGTCTGCTCTGCTCAAGTCATCTAACGGCTATTTTGTATTTGATATAATCCCCGAGCTCAGCGCTCTCATTTGCCATCCAGACCTCGCCGACCCGCCGGAAGCTGACACCTACATCGACAACTTCTGTGGAGCCCCTGTGGACACCATCCCGCCGACCGTGCTACAGAGGGCGATGATGCCGATGAGGAAGAAGCTGAACGGGCTTTTCCCCATCGCGAATCTCTAGTCGTGTATCAGCACCTCGCGATCTACGCATTTTTGCATGGCCATTGTAGGCACAACATCGCTGTGGTCATGGCTCATGCGAGAGAGATGCTGCAGGCGGAATTTAAGTTGCCAAAGATTTCGATATTCTTCGTTGCGAAAACTGGTGTCAAAAGCCACTCCACCCTTAGACTCATAAGATCGTATTTGCTGGGATACCGGATCAGCCTTTCATAATTAACCACCCTCTAGCTGCGCAACCAACGGGCGGAGGTAAACTCTTGACACTTACTTGAAGAAATGGCTTAAGTTTTACGAGTGATTGAGTTGGCCATGGCTTCATAACCACTCACGTAAAAATTGCATATCTTTTTTCAATAATTCACTTCATACTCTACCAGGTAATTCACTTTTTACCTTAAAGCACCGTTTTTTTATTACATTCTGTACACCTCGTTATAAAAGCACGAGCAGTGTCCGTGCACCGATGGTGTCGTCATGTAGTAAGCAGACTGCATATCTCAAGCATATTAAACTACAAGACGCAAGAGTGCTTGATGAATACACATTTGAGAGCCAAGATATTTATATTTTATCTGTTGCTAGCTTCTGATAGATGCAATTTGTATTAAGCTTAAGTAATTCTTGCTTGCTGACAATAATCATCACAACCAATTTACACTCTGGTTGACCAACTTGGCATAAAAACAGAGCAAGGATATCTCCCTCAGGCAAATTTTGAGTGATAGAGCTCCGCAATTTATTAGTACTGCCTTCTGTGCAGATTTTATTGATTTTTTGCTAGAAGCTCATCGTTTTGACATTTGTTTCAAGCATGTACCACTTGTTTACTGTATTTTGTCAAAGAGTCTAAAATATGTCTCCTTGCATTTTAGTGTTGCTACCGTCTCTTGCATCAGCGGTACGGAGCGATTCTCTCGCACCGCCCTCTCAACTATGAAGCTAGCTTCTCTTGTCTTACCAAATTTCCTGCAAACTGTATGAGTTGTCGCACACATTCGCGGAATCCGTAAATTTTCGCCAACACCTTGTTTGTGATCCAGCGCTAGACAACGTCAACCAGTTATTAGTCGTGACAATTATTTCATTCACCTCGAAAGAACCTACATATCATAAAGCGTGTCCTGCTCACCTCTTTAGAACCTACATATCATAAAGCGTGTCCTGCTCAACTTTACAATGTTTAATCAAGCAAACGCGTTAGAACATCAGTTACTTCGAGTTAGAAATGCGGACTTTTGAAGCGCTTTAATCCTAAAAAGTGAAGGCTTCAAACTGGAGAAAAGAAAGCGAAGGGAAATATGTTACTTATCTCGAAAAGGCTTCTCCAATTTGCAGTACTTCATTGTGATGCTCCTGATTAACCTAATAATTAATGCGTCGATTAGGAAAATGGCGCAACAGATCACAGGCTACGTGAGAGAACAATACAAAGAGCAAAAATGCTCGCTGAGTGCGCCATGCGTTTCTACACGAACTTCGTGCTGTGCGTCTGACAGGATTTGTAGGATCTCAGTATGTTCCTTATCATTTTCTTCAGCGACAGTCCTGCCAACTGATCAAATAAAAGTCGCCTTGACATTCGTGTAGGATTTAAACAGCTTATAACCACGCTGCTATTTTCATTTCATTGTCATTGTTTGATTATTTCTCCAGCGCAGTAAGCTATCCCTATTTCACAAGTATTGCTTACAGAAAGGATCTAGGCGCTGATCGAAATACTCAAAAATTAAGCTATTAAAATGTATCCATTGCCCGCGTTGTCTTTCCAGTCCCTAAAATATTATGGATGTCTCTGACGTCCAGACATGTTGACAGACTTCATAACGCATCCTTCTAGTTCCTTACAGTAAATCAATTTTTACTTTAAATGACCCACAACCTGGCTGACTATAGAGCAGTTGTTTACCTTAATTGTCACATAAAGTGATAAATTTTATTTCTACGGAACATCTATTCCTCTCCAAAAAATTAACATCCTTTTCCTTCAAAAGTGAAAGTAGATGCTCTTGCTGCAAGCCACACATGTCCGAAGTCCCTCCATTATAAAAGAGACGGTGAATGCCTCTGGAAGATGGCATGTCTTTATTGCGGCGCTACAATTCTCAACCCTTGGACATGGTTTATAATTTTCTGTCCCCGCGGAAGAATGAACAAAAGCTGTGAAAGGACCTCTTACGCCTGGTCAGCGGTACGAACACCCGCGACAAATGTCGCTATAATTTTTTATTGATGGGAATTCATCTTTACATAAGTATTGTACATAGTGCCCACGCTCACACACGAATTCCTAGCTTGAAGACCACCAGCGTGACAGTTTGTTGCTTCGTTGAGAGTCTGGCCAACATCATAATTGTTCCAAGGTAGTGAACAAATGTCACTATCCTGACCCTACAGGGCTGAGCCTTTTGCGGCCTCGAGGAAGATGTTTTCTGCTGGCGTTGTTTCTCATCGGCGCGTCAAGGTTCATCGAACCGACGCCCCGCTTCTTACCAGTCTTCTAGTTTGTCGCGGGGAAACGACAGAACCCAGTTGGTGCGGAGCGCCCTACTGGTGAAGAAGTGAGTTCTGTTGAACCTCAAGGAGGTTGAGGGTATTAGGGTCCAGTCCTGAAGGGCTCCGTGCTCTTGAACACGGAACCTGTATGCAAGCCGAAGTCAGCTGTATGCTGAGACGCAGATGGAACAGTTGAGTGGCATCGTCACTGCTCGCTTAGTGACGGGGGCATGTGCCACGATGCCAAAGGTTTTTGTGGACCTCAGTGTCAAATACCTTGACTTCGATAGCGTGAAACGCTGTTTGGCCTTAGATTTGGATTCAAGGTATGCCCTCATCCTTGGTATGGCATGGTCGGAACACCATGAGCCATGGATTGTTTGGAGGTCGAAGACCTTGGGCGTTACACGCACATCTCCTGGTAGAACTTTGGTGAGTCATAAACACACCTCTGCTAGGAAGCAGTAGTGCTGAGCACTGGACCGGGACGTTTAATGTGCTGATTATCGAAATATCCAAGCTGTCGAACACCGAAGGTGTATCGGACAAGAGTTTTGAGCATGGCTCGAGGGCTGAACGTGAAGCGGCACATAACCCAATGAGCACTGCTAAAGCCCCAGAGCAGTTGCTGCAAGCATGGTCGGACGAGGTCTGAGGCATCGAGGGCGAGGCCCCGGGGTTGCGTGTTGAGTGGCACGTAATCCACTAAGCACTGCTCAGGTTTCATGACAGTTGCTGCATTCTACGAGTGGCATGGTCGGATGAGGTCCGCGGCATATGGGGCAAGGCCCTTCATATGCGCGTGGAGTGGCACGTTATCCACTGGACGAAGACTGCAGAAGTTGCAGCTCCTTGTCGTATGTTGTTAATAACATCAAGGCTCCCATGGGGCAGGGAGTGGGAACACTGGACGACGCCGAGTGCGTGTTCCCACTGGTCTCAATGAGACAAAAACACCTCTACAGAGAAGAGAGGGTAGTGCCGTATAATATCTGCAAGACGCCAGGCGTCCACCCCGACCCAGGGTGCGTCTATCGTAGACGATCGCGCACAGCTATTCACCCTTGTCATCGGTATGACGAGAGAGGAACACGGCGACGTCACTCTCGAGGCTATTCCCGCAGTAGATGCTTTTTTCGAGCTGAACGAGATGTCCTTCGAAGTGTTTGGTGGTGCCTTGAAGGCGGACGATTTAACCGATGGTCATCACTCGTCGTCGCTTCTGGGTGAAGCTGTCCTGGAGGACATCAAGAGGGTGCTGAACGCACGAAGTGGACCGTCGATCCTGAAGGATCCCTCGGAACCGTACTGTTGCTTGGTGAAGAATTCCAAGACGTCGTCTCCGAAGAAATGCCGTCGGTCCTAACTCCGGGCCGAGGTGTGCGTCATGAGATCACCTGGTTCTGGTAACAAATACTGCGTATCATGCCAACGGGTCTGCCCAAGGAGCAGTGCGACATTATTGACGTCTTTTTCCGTGCTAAGCACGACGCTGGATTGGTGCGTGAGAGCAAGTCTCCCTATTCGAATGTATCTTCGGCGCCGAGGTGCTTCATCGGTAAGCGGGGCCTTCCAGGGGATCCCGCTAAGGTCAAGGCCATTGTGGACTGGCCGGCTTCAAAACACTAAAAGCACTTGCTTGGCTTGGCCTCGCCTACTATTTGCACAAGTATAGCGTGAAGTATGCGGAAATGGCACGACCATTGTCGGATCTCCTTAGGAAGGATACGGAATGGTGTTGGTACACAGGGCATCGGGAGGCTTTTGACAGGGTCAAAGACAGCCTCCTCCATGCACCAATACTGGCGTTGCCGGTCCTCTATCGTCCTTTTAGTGTCTCTGTGACGCTTCGAACTTTGCTATCGGCTGTGCACTGCTGCAAGCAGACACCGAGGGGCTAGATCAGATGATCGCGTTCGACACTCTCCAGCTTAAGAACTACCCAGTGCACGTCAAGGAAATCTTTGCGATGAAGTATGCACGTGTCAAGTTCAGGTTTCACCTTCTCGGCTCCACGTTTTTCGTTATCTAAACAGAACAACGAACTGCGAGACAGTCGCCTCACCTCTCGCAGAGGATGGCCAGACGGCTGTCCTTCTACGAAGAATATAACTTCGAGGTGAAGTATAAGCCGAGAAGCAGAATTATTTTGGCTGATGCGTTGTCACGCAGACCAGATTATAAGCTTGCTCATGTCACGGCGGTGACGTCGTCAGCGACGAATTTGATCCGCGCCGCATACGCGGGTGATAGTATGTGTGTAGCGCTGCTACAGGCCCTCGAGAGCAAGGAGGTTGAAAACTCTGACAAGAATTTGAAGGCGCAATTGCGTGGACGGTTACACCGATGTTCGTTAAAAACAGGCTGCTGTAGTATAGCACCAATTCGACCGATACGCCACGAGTTGTGGTTCCTCCGATGAGGGTTTGAAATACCGTATCCTCTATGAGGCCCACGGCACCCCACTCAGTGGTCAACTCGGTCGTGAGAAGACAGACAGCTCGGTTAGTTGCCACTATTGGTGGCCCAAGCTGTACAAGTAGACGAGCACATACGCGCGCACGTGTGAGACGTGTCAAGGGGAGAAATCCTCTTCAAATGCGGCGGCGCCGCTGGTCTGGTTGCCAGTTACCTTCGGGTGCTAGCAGTCCATGAGTATGGACTTTTGTTTGGCCTGCCGGAGGGTTCGGCAGTCAACACGGGTGTGGTAGTCTTAGGTTCGTTTGAGCAAGATGACATACTTGCTGCAGGGCCGGACCAAATCGACGGTGTGGGTACAGCGACACTCTTTGTGGATCGTGCCTTTCGACAACATAGACACCCGTAGTCAATTGGCTCTGATAGAGCCCGCGCTTCACTTGGAAGTTTTGGTCTACAATATTCAGGGTGTTGGACATTAAGTTGACTGTGTCAACAGCGGACAATTCACAGACCGATGGTCAAACTGAACGCGTGAATTGCGTCGTTGAAAACGTTCTTCGGATCGTCTGTATTGAGATCACAAAGCGCTGGAGTGCTATGCTGCCACTAGTGGAGTTTGCTCTAAATGTGCATTCGTCTACCGGCTACACGCCGTTCTACGGGAACGGGTTTCTTGATCATCGCGTCCCGCTGACGCCACCATCTCATGGCTCAGGGCTTGGTGGGGAAGGAATAGCCGAGCGGCTAACTGATGTTAGCCCTCTAATTGTTTGTAAGGAAGTTGATGACGTCCAGTCTACCAGACTGAGTACGTTTGCGAGATGATCGAAAGCCAAATTGAATATGCAAAAGGAAGAAGCAGAAGAAATGTGTAAAACATTGAGGTCTGAGATCTTGTTTTATCAAACGCTAAAACCCTTCCTCCACATCAATTTCTGCTGTGTTAAAGACAAAACTCTGTCCACGGTTTATCGGACCTTTTACGGTCAAGGCCAAGTGGGGCCTTGCGTATACGCTATACCTTCCGAAACGGATGCGCACCCACCGAGTGTTTTCTGTGGGCTAGCTTAAGCCGTACCGGGATCCAGCGCAAGTGAACGCGGAAGCGTTGGCGCCGTAGTGGCGCCCACAGGCGCTCGATTACCCAGAAGCTGGACCAGCAATTGAATTTTAGCACGGAGTGCAACGATCTCCATCTCCAGCGGCGCCAATCGCTCCACCGTCGCATAAAGTGACGCATTTTAGGAGCCGCTCCGACAGAGAACGATAGTCCTCAACGTGAGGCAGCTGGTGCATGACGTGCTCCAAGCTCTCTTGGCCTACCGCGCAACAGTATGCGACCTGTCACCCACTTGTTACCAGGTCCCACAATAAAATTACCATCTGGAATACCACCGACACCATAGGCCATGGCCAGGGTACCACCAGCGGCCAAGAAATAATCAGCTCCTGCCAAATGGGCAGCAGCTAATGTAGCACGCGCCCAACGTAGTTCCGATCGCGACGGACCTCGTCATCACGAGCTCGAAGAGTATCGTGAGTCACCGGACGGCTATCGACTCAGTCGTCATCGTCCGCCGCCGCTCTTCTCGACGAGAATGGTGGTGGCCACTATCACGTGAAATGTTTTGTGGGTAGACGTCGTCGACAGGGATCGACCCAATATCTTGCGAAGTAGCGGGGATACCCCGACTCGAGAATTCGTGGAAGTTGGAAGTGCAACTTCGGCAAGACTGCTTAAAAGTCGTGAACGCTTATGGATAGAGGGATCATGGCGTTCCGCGTCGTTGTACGCCCCGCGCTTCTTAGCAATAGCCAGGCAAGCCGAAGGGTCATGAGCTGAGCTCAAGCTATGGCCTTGAGCTACTGTGGTCGCAGACTCACCCATGTGAGAGACCACAGAGTTCGTGGGAGCGTGAGGGTACAACACTTACGTCGCAGGGCGACAATTCTGTGGAAATCGGCAATGCGCCTTGTGTTTTGCAGATTCAAACCGAAGATGGCCTTCCACACGCGCGTCCACCTCCCTGTCGCCAACCGTAATTTGAGCAGCGAGGAGAAGTTTCGGTGCTGCCGCACCCATTGCTTAAAGAGTTCTTGGTCATCTGCAGCGGTTTTACCAAAGGCGAGCACCACAGGAATTGTCCGCATCGCGGTGTGGCTATGCTTAACAAAAAGTTAGTACGTGGCTGGAACAGCCAGTAGTTATACATTTTATAAGGTTTAAATGTTTTACTTGGAAAACCTATTGATTCAGATGTAGGCGACGTTGCCGCAAATAAAAGCAAGAAATACAGTTTCAATTTTGAGCGGAATGTTGTATTTGCCTTGAGTTTAAGTCTTTGTTACTCTTGGAGTAAGCGGATTGCGATCCATCACACTCGTACTGGTTCTAGGTACAGAACGAAAGTTACCGACCTTAGCTTAGCTTCCTCTAAGCAAAAGAGCTACGACAGCCCCGCTGCACAACCAATGCGACCCCGCTGCACAACCAATGCCTAGGTGACGGGTACAAAACACTATCGAATGTTCAAACGCTGCTCGGTAGCTTGGAGCTTTGCCTCCTCATCCTCAGCAGAGCTGAGATCCATTGGCTCAGGCCCGATCAAAGTGCTGCAAGAGTGTGCATTCCAGCCAAGTCGTGCCGACTCAAACTCAAATCCGGCATTCAATGCCATACTCATCGCTTCTTCAAAAGAAGACGGATGCACACGGAAGACTTCTATTCTGCGGAGGCCCTCCAAAGACGGTCACTCTGACCACCTCCGGAAGAGGATCGGCTGTCATACCGGCTATGAGAGTACTTAACTTTTGGACAAAGTTCACCAATTCCTCCTTTCCCTGTCGAGCGGCAAGGAAGCGCGATCGTACGCGATATGCCTGATTAGGCGGCGAGAACACTCGTGAGAACTGCAATTTCAGCTCCGCACAGGAGGGAAACGCAACTTCGATCGAATGGCCGCACGTCAGTGCCCATTCTCGCGCTCGATCACCAAGCTTTGAGATGGCTAGCGCTACGCGCTGTTGCTCGGTCTGGAGTATGGCGGATGCGATGGCTATCTCGACCTCTCTCACTCAGAGCAGGAAATTCTCTCCATCCTCCCCTCAAAGACCTTAACGCTCACAATGAGCGGGTTAGGGCGGGAAAAATCATCCGACACCGACGGTGGCGTCAGAAACGCAAATGATGCAGACATGTTCTGTTGCAGGTGCTCTAGCAGCGCTTTTTCGTAATTAAAAACGCTTCTAGATGCGCACCGATTGCTTCAGGTCCTTGCGAAGCGAGGAGTTGCACGCACTCACGGCCAAGCAGAGACATCAGCTTTAAGCCCGTCCTCCATGCTTCGGGGCAAATAGGAGAACAGCTCCATCCTAACAGAGTGTCAGTTATAACGACTCAGGTGTAGATTGACTACAAGTGCTACCAAGTGTAGCGGGGCTGCCGTGGCTCTGTCGCGTCGAGGAAGCCTGAATAAGGTCGGTGACCTGCGTTCTATGCTAACAACAGTACGAGTGTCGCCGATCATAATCCAATTACTCCAAGAGTAATTACAACCCTAATTCAAGTCTATAAGCTCTTCCATTAAATATGTAATCTGCATTTCTCGGTTATATTAGCGTCAAAGCCGCCTATATCTAAATCTATAGGTTTTTCTAATTAAATAGTAAGACCGAATTATATGTATAACTACTGGTAGTCCAGCCACGTACTGACTTCTAGTTTAAGTATAACCACACCATAGTGTGGTCACACCACCTTGTGAAATCTGTGTCTTGTGGTTCTCACACCCTTCGAGGGTACGTGAAACCACATTACACTATGGACCTCAGCTATGCTGGGAAGGAAGAGAAATCTCTTGGCTGCCAAGCGGCTCAGTGTTACTTGCAGATGTTAAATCTGTGGCAGTACCAAAAACTTTCACCCCGGGTACCCCCTTTCGCTCTCGGCTGAGAGATATGAAAGGTCGTGCTCAACCTACCTCAGCAAGACTTTTTATCCTTCGGCATCCAGTTCACTGATCCTTTAGGAACCAACATTGAACTTGATTTGACCAAAATTGTCGAGATGTCCCGAAGACAGGTGATTTTTATCTTCACTGCGAAAACAAAAAACTCTGTCTTCAAATCTAAGACGTGTGCCACGAAATCCGACGGGTTTGCCGCGCCTTTGCAGCGAGGGATTCCAATCTGCATCTACCAAACGGATCCGCATTTGTCGCAGGTGATAGTACCCAACGTTTTGGTCCTGGCGCTGCCTCGACCTCAGCTGAGATAAATGATAGGTAGAGCTTCACCGCAGCCAAGCTCGTAGCTAAGAGCTAAAATTGGCATATCCAGCAAAAATCATAGGAGGCCCTAGTTGAGCAAAATACTCTTCAGCACTTTTAACAGATTTCAGTATCAAAGGTAATTTCCTCATTCGTTAACGACTGCTGCTGCTCTTGGTTCAGGCGGCTCTCCTTAATGGTGGCGACCTGAGGGATCGAATCATTCGCGGTGCGACTTTGCGACTTTGCGACTTTTGGATACTTAATCTGCACTCTGGTGGTATGGATAGGCGTGTAAGGGCCCTTCATGGCATGGCGGGCAATTTCTGATAAATATCTATACTGTGGGCTCGACGAACATGTCAAATTTGGTCTGACCGAATACTTTTATGGTATCTTGAAAAATATTGAAATAAAAATGCAAGGCTGGTCATGCTGAGAGCGATTTTTTGCCTTTACTTATCCTCAGTTTCACTTCACGAGCCTTTCGCTTACAGTGACTGTAATCACTACTATCGCTCGCAAAGCGCGTAGTATTTAACAGGAAAATAATACATTGTAGCATAAGGATTGGAGTCGTGATTCAGCGAGAGACACTTAGACCCTGTACCAACAACGCACATTTTTATAAGCGAATTTCTGAGTGCATCATACTATAAACACAACGCCTTACCCCATCAGTCAGTCACTTGTTTACCATGGATGAACCCACCGAGATAAAACGCTTAGCAGCAACCACCCAATCAATGAGATCACTTTGGTTCGGGCATTGGAATGTCAGCGTCCGAAAAGCGTCGAAGCGCAGCATAGTGCTCAAAATTCCGGTTAAAGGACTCACTTCCGTAATTTCAAAGTTGGGCGTCGTACTCTTACCCAGGATCTCTATACGGCAGTTCGTCAGACGTACTGACTGACAGTACACGTCTGCCGTCTGATCATTTGTTGCAATTGCCCCCAGCATCGCCTCTGTTGACTTCGTTATGGAACGCGTCGTGCTCTCTTTCAAGTCGAGCAGATGCAAATAACCATCGTGTGTGATGGCACATAAAACATCTTTCCATGACGCGAACAGTGATCCGCTCACTTGATTCTTGAGAAATCCACAACGTACCAAAAGTGGACTTGAAATTGGAGAGCGAAGTGTTGAAAAAAGCCGCGCGTCTGTATTATCTGATGCAGAAAGCGAAGCGGCCGTATACTTCAGACGCAAAGAGACACTTAGTTAGTACAGGAGTTAACACGATAACAATGTATTAAGTAACCTGCGTACGTTCTTAGGTATCCGCCGTATACTCTGCACAAGGTCTCTTTCGGGGTCAATACGCTAAGTCCGCATAACAACGTAAGACCCACATGCCAAATTCAACTACTCCACTTGTACCGCTTCATACCTGTGCAGCAGCTAAAGGTTCTGTCATTATCCCTGCCATTTCGCCATATGTCAGCTTCTGCTTACGAATGTATGTATCCAACGCTGTCTGGATCACAGATGCTCTCCATAGCTCCATCGCCTTATATTGTTGAAATAGAGCTGCCATTCCCGTTACATACTCCACTCGACACTGCTGCTGCTTTTGAACATGGATGCAATAATTCATTTCGGCCAACCACAAATCCTGTCGTCTCACTGGATCTGCACTGCTCGTACCCTCCCTCCTGCTCTCCGATTCATTAAATATTTCTTCGTACTTTTCGAATGCGTCTACAACATTCTTTTGTGAATGGTACAACATTGCATCTAACTTGTTGCCTTCTGTCACCATTGTCTCCACGCGCTCCTTGTACGTAGTCGCCATCTCTTCAAGCGGCTTTGTCATCACTTCTCGCTTCACAACTGTCGTCAATTGTACAATTTTGTCAGCCATCTGCGTCTGAACTTCGCCTAACACATGTAGTGCCTTAGATATCGACGACGGCATGTTCATCTGGTCGGTTTCGTTCACTCCGTTGATCTCTGCAGGTCCTGTGGCTTCAAAGATTGTGCGCGTCTGCTTGAGCGCATCTGCATATGCCAAATCAGCCTGTATTCGTAAGGAAAAGAATTTGAGCAATCGAGCGTTTTCCTCGCCTCCATGTCGTATCTCGTCGTGAAATTGACGCCAATAGGCGCGATCCCGGACTTGAAATTTGTCGATCTGTGTGCTTCGTTGAGCTTCAAAAGCGCGTAGAGCTGCACAGCTGTCGGACTTGAGCTGCCATACATCATCACTTGCAATTGATGATGTTGGGAGAGGATCAAGTGCTTCTTCAGCCGCAGCGATCGACATAACTTTGAATGCGTCTACTGCAATAATTATTTCGTGATTTTCTAAAAGTTTTTTTAGGTCTTTCCTCAAATTTGGTAGAATCTAAGGCATAGCAATTTTCTACTTCTCACAATGCTTTAAACACTTTTAAGCGTGAGAACAGACTGAAAAAGTTATAATCATAATTCATTGTATGAAACGCATAACTAGATTCATACATCTACCACAGTGAGATAATTTATAATGCGGCCAGCAGCAGATCATCATCACATAAATTTCTGTCATTATCGCGGAAAAGAGCTTTTTACCCGAGCCGCATGGCAACTCCACCTAAACATAGCTTTAGAGACGCAACACAACGCGACTGATCGCAGACGTTTGAGACTCGCTAAGGCTATTAATACCGGACAGGAAATATCCTTGAGACACTTCAACTTTAAATGGCTGAAGCTGCCTCTCAGCAATGCCCAGGACTCGTCTCTAAACACGGCCGAGATTATAAGAGCGAAGTTGTAAGGCTAAACAATGTGCGAGTGTGACTCCGTAACCCGATGGGTTAGCCTTTATATTTTCTTCTAGCGTCCCCCGGTAGTCCTGAGATATTAATTGTACGTCTAGCTCATATTCAGCATTATTGCTGGTTATCTTAGCTGAGGGCTTGATGTGCTCGCCAAAACTTTATAACCTGCAATTGTCACGACGGTCCAGCAAACGCGGCGCATATTTAGCACCTTGTCAGGTCTCGCGAGAATGGGCCACATCTCAAACATGACGTCAAAGTTTGTTTTGTTCATTCCTTTTGAGGTATTCGATACTTGGTCTAAGTTGTCTCACTTTAAAGGTACTGGTAACCTGTAGAGCAGGTTACCAATACCTTCAATTCGTGAAGCGGAACATTTTGTTGTCACAAGCTTCCAGCTACATGCCACTTCTCCATCAGTCGTTGACTTTGCCTTTACCAGGAAGATGCAGAATTCGATTCACGTCATTTTAACCCAGTAATTGAGATGGCACCAATGCCGTACAACCTTTCCAAATCTGCCAATATGCTTATTCGTATGACAAACTTTGGCTAAATCAAATTAAGGAAATGCTTCTTAAGATCGCTAAATTCTCCACATTACTTGGTTCGGGCTGTGACTCGTTCTGATACCCTGGACAATTCCCAGTTATCGAAAATGGCATTTTTGAACTTTTTCGCCCAACGCTGTGACGTCAAATGTCAGCTTTACTCAATTCACGTCTCGACTTCGAGCAGCAAGTCGGACAGCAAATTTGAATACATAGACTGGAGAGGTAAATGCATGACATCAAGGGCGACCATTCTCAAAATTGTCTACGCTGAATTCTCCATAGGGTATGAAAATTATGTTACTTTCGCAGTGGTAGTCTGAATGATAAGAATGATAAGAGGTATAGTCATAGCCAGAAATGAGGTGGCATACCATCATATCTGAATGTTCTCCTTCGACCACAAGACAATCCGAGAATCCATGGCATTTTTTTACTGTCTTTTCAATGCGGTGCACCAAAAAAGATTTTTGAGACTCATAGATGTATTAGGAATTAACATCAAACGGATACAAACAGCTAAAGCCGGATATGAAAACAATACAGACGCGCTGACCATTTAGACTGAATCACCAAAACAGCAACGGCATTCCCGAACAACTCTGCCCTGAGATTTTTGAGCTTATTATACATAAAATCCGCCTCTACCTTCAAACTTTTACCTGGAGCGTTCTGAGGGTAGAAAGGCATCAAATAATTTTGCACTGCAGAGTTTGTTGGGAAAAGTCGTGTACTTATTAGAACAAATGTACTTATTGTACGTTTGTTCTTAGCACTTCCATAACTTTGTCGGCTTAACACCATAAGCTCAAAAGCCCATCTACTGCTTATACAGAGCTATATAGTCCATGAACCACTGGCTTGTGTAGCATATTACTGCAACCATGTACGTGTTGATAATTCCTGGCTTCAAGATGTGCATTTAATATTCAGCTTTTGACAACGGGTTTGAGAACTTGAGTCAAAGTATATAGTTTCACGGTCAAAAATAGAATATCCTTCCCGATGTTTGTGCTCTCACTCTCGGCATCAATTATCCTCGGTAAAGAAGTACTCTATACGTTAAACATTGCATGATTGCATGGTCTTTGCGTATTGAACTTGCTCGGTCATACTTCTATGCCAAAGTTTTTGAGCTCACCCACCTCCTTTGGATATAAGTCAGCAATTTCTTCACACTAATACCAGACAGGAACATATCACATCACACCAAGGAAGACAGTATCGTACAAAGCTCATAACTGCAGTGAGTCAGCCAAGATTCTAGCAATCAACTCAATTTCACATTGAAGCAAACAATATATTTTTTTCTTCGAATAGACTCTGACAATGGAATCTTAGCAGATCACGATGATGACATTTAAAAAAAAACAGCGCAAATGCATCGATGTAGCTGGCAGTAAACTCGTCCATAGCATTAAAGAAAGCTTCAATTATTACTATAATTTTGGAGGTGCTACAAACAGCACTGGCGGTTTAACGCAGACTTGCTGGGCGACTTGCTGAGTACATCATCGCTTGCGAACTCTTTTCGGTGTCTTGAAGCCCTTGCTAACATTCAATCTCTTATTTTTCGGTGCACTCGGCAGAAAAGGAACGTTTTGCAGGCTTTGCGAGATTAAGTATAAGGTTCTATCAACAAGTGTGATTCTGTTCAAGAAACTTTTCATCTCTTAAGAACAGATATAACAATTTTGGTTATAGACTTTTATATAAACGTAAATTACAGTATGCTAACTTTTGTGATTGTATGGGAAAATATAATTACGAGCTCGGTCCACCCATTTGCCAGACTGCATATCTCTTAGCGAACGGACGGCTCCTTTGCCAGCAACAACTCAATTCCGTTCTTAGGGTGAATGCATCAAGCATCTTCGAACAGCTTGAAGACAGTAAATACAATTTAACCTATGGCCTTCAAGGACGGTGATAACTTTTTTGGCCTGTGAATAATTTATCAGCCTAGACAAAACTGCGCAGTGTATTTATATGATGTAAAGGTTACAACAGACATTCAAACCACTTCAGCGGCATCTTTGATTTCGATCGCGAGGAATCACCCGCAAGAAACCGCATGTCAAAGTGATTGAGAGAATTTCTATAAAATCGGTCGAGATACGAGCTGCCAAACCTAGAGTCCGGAATTTCGGCGGCGCAGCTCTGAAATTCAACAAACCCATCGTTCTTACTAGACTTGTGTGGAATCATTTGTGCAACTATCCAAAATTGCGCTTGGTATTTCGACCACAACCCGAAATAATTTTCACTACAACTGAGTGCATACACTTGCTCTCGGTAAACTTTTTGTGCTGCTTTGTACGCTGCATCAAGCTCTTCGGAACAGAAGCTGCCGCCTTCATACGCTAACGATTTCAAAGCTTCAGTAGGAGGACACTTTCCTATAATTTTTGCAAGTTTATCATAAACGAAGTTTGAATTGCCAGCGCACGATTCTTGGATGATATCGGACGCCATGCTGCCCTTCATTGGTCCTGACATTCCTACCCATGTTGAGCTGCTTTCGAGCTTGCATCGTCCATTTGCAATTGCTCCCGCAAGGATGAGATTACCCATGGAATGCGTCACAATAATCGTGTCTGTAATCCGAGAGTCTGTGCTAGTGTCACTTACCGCAAGTACACGATCACACAACTTCTGTTGCAATGTCTGGTCAGTCCAGGCGAAATTGACCGTATCTAGTCTTGCAAATTTTATTGACGAGCAACACGGTGTATGACCCGTCAAATCTCCCCAGTATTTATGAAACTCATCCTGATTTTCGGCCAATTCTGGAGAACAGCCGAGCCCATGTATAAAAATGCATGGGCGTGGAGTTGACTTGCACGAACATGTCGGCAGGTCTTTCGATCCAAAGATCCAACTGACCTCAGCCCTGAGCTTTCTTGTTGTATTTGTGAGATACGATTGTCCAGTGAGCATAGCGCGCCCAACTTCAGTCGTGCTTATATAAGAAGCCACAGACGAGCACTTGTGCACCGAAGAGTCAAGTGTCGGAGGCTGAATTTTAGTACGATTCCAGATGTACTCGACCAAGACGTCCATATTGACCCCGTGAATCATGAACCCCGTTGGTAAAGCACAAACTGTGTAAGTTTCGCCTTTCTTCTCAGCCTTGTAAGAAATACCGGCTATGCAAGAATTTGCATTTGATCGTTTGGCTACATTTATTGCAGCCACGATCGAGTTGATGTCCGGAATCTTATTGAGTTCAGTGTCCAAGCATGGTGAAAAGCGTTTATTTAGACTTTCCGAATTAGCGGGTGTACTCTCAATGATCACACTGCCATTTATAAACTTGTAATTGTAATCGATACCAGCATTTGTAAAAGTGGTGAATACATCATAGAGAACGTCCTTTTCATTGTCAAGTACTGTGGGGTCGGCAAACATGTCAAATGTAGACTGCCCGAATACTTTCATGGTATCTCCCGTAATAGTGAAGTGAAAATGCAAGGTTGGCCATACTGAAGTAACCGTACTTTTGAGTTGATTCCAACTCTGTTTAACGTGGTCCATTGCGCTCGTATATGAAGCCAAAGTTATGAAAAAAACTGACACTATTATACACGACATCGCGGAACTGGGAGTGGGGAGGATGAGGAGCGTTACGAGCCTTTGACATCGCTGGTTATTGATGTCGTTATTTTGTATCACAACAATACAACATTTCAGTATTTTAGTGAATGTGGTTTTGTGGGTGATTTACAAGGTAAGAACTCGATAATCATTTTTGTATTAATGCGCAATGTGCTGAACTTGTTATACACATTTTCTTAAAGGGAAAATAAAAAAATCCACCAGATAAACAGAAAAATAAAACCAATATACCATAAAAAAATATACCAAGTGTATACTAATTCAATTATAGTTATGTATACATACACATACTGTATATACTGTTTGTCGACATCACAAAAATGTACACAAGATGTCAACAACAGTTCAAGAATACCATCCAGTGCGCATATAGAGAAAGTGACAAATGAAAACATTGTTATATCTTGTGGAAGTGAACCATGCAAAGCTAGAGAATAATCTCTAACATGAAAATAGTTTGCCAAACAACCATAAAAATTACACTCATCACAGGCTTGGATGGCCCACATTTTTGCAAACACTGCATCTAGAATTTTTTTTTGAGCCGAGCAGTTGCCTAGTAGGTGTATGTACCATATTTGCTTAAAGGAATAGGGCAATCGGGTGATCGTCGCTGTCAATCAATTCAAATCCCACCGGTGAAATTTAATGAGGTTTGACTGATGTGCTCCGCGGTTTAGGGCTCCATAGCATGTCTGTCCCCACCCTCCGTGTAAAAGCCTAATTGGTGGACATTTTTCATCTTCATTTGATCACGAGACGTATACATGTGTATATTTTAAATACACTATACTTGAAGTAGTATACACTCAGTATACTTTTTTAATTCTAAATATCTCCGATATTGTTTTCATTTTTCTGTTTATCTGGCAGATCTTTTTAATTTCCTTTTTATAAGATAATGTACGATCAACTCAAAGAGCAACCATTGCGCTATAAAGTTTTCTTGCACCGCTGCACCCGATAGTCGAGTGTAATCTACATTGAGAGTCCTAAACTTTGCATGCCCACATGGTCGAACGAGCTCTTGCGCAAGTGTAATGGGGTTGCACGTACTGCAGCGGGGCTACCGTAGCTTTGCGCTTCGCAATCCGCTCACTCCAAGAAAAATTATTGCCTTACCCAAGGCTAATAAATTCTTCTGTTGAAATTCAAAACTGACTTTATTTATTATCTGCGGCAAAGCCGCCTAATTTTAAGTGTATAGACTTCCCTAATTATATAGAGTAAAATCTAAACACATGCATAACTACTGGCTACCCAGCCACGTACCGTATTCTTATTTGCGTGCAGTCACATTATGCCCATCTCGTGTGACACAAACTCCTGTTACCAGGGTACGTGTAACCCCTTTACACTTTCCCCCATTAAGACTGAGAACATTTACAGTTTCAATCGATTATTGCCTCAACAAGGCTTGCGTTTCCGCTAGACAATGCGATTTGATTCGTTGGAACAAAACGACTTCCGTGCTCAATGAGCCCTGTGTCAACGACACTGAAGTTACCAAGTCTCGC